CCATGACATTTATGAATGTATAAATCATATGGTGAAATACTGACTTTGAAAAATAAATCTGTTTTTTTATCTTATAAAAGGCTAAATAAAACAAAAATATTGGTGGTAATTTTTGACTGTGTAACTTTAAAAACGGCACCCCATATGTGGGATGACTGTTAAGCAGGCTGACTAAAATAAGATGCAAAAAAGAACTGGTCACAAAAACCCAGCCACGGCTCACTGTTCACATTCACAGCTCAGTGAGATCCTACATTTAACTCTGCACTTTAAACTAAATATGAAAAGTATTGAGCTGCTGTTCTGTATCTCTGAGATTAAATAGGGTCCTGAACATTTTTTCTAAAAAAATTAACTTCAAGTTTGTTTTTTTAGCTTGTCCAGCAGAGGAGGGTAATTCTCGGAATGAGGTGAAATCATTTGTAAAATGCAGCGCAGGCTAGTTTTACAGCAACTCTATCGAAACTGGTTGGATATAAGTACAAACACATTTTTAGTGATGGTCTCTAAAATTGTAAACAAAACAGAAACAGAGAACTTGTTATTTTCACTCATCAGTCCCACAGGTTGGACATTATGTCACCTCAGCACTCCTGTCTGCAGCACAAATACAAGCAGAGCAAAACTCTGTGAAGGTGTCACATTTAACTTTCTACAGTAAAGTGTTTTATGTGTTTTGTGTCACAAAACGTGTTTATTTTAAGCTAAAACCATCTATAACAAGCTTAAACACTAAAATAAAAAATGAGCTTCATAATTCATAAAGCTCAGTGGATTTAGGGCTGATTGTGACAATGACACCATCATCACAGTCCTTTACAAGCTGTCAGTCTGACACAGCCAAACAAAACAGGAAGCTCCCAACTGAAACGTTTCTTTTACACTAAGAATCTTTGCATCATCTTCTGATGACTGGCAGCTCATCTCATGCTGTTCGTGTTATTAATGCAAGTCAGGATGCCTTGGAGAGCTTCAGTAGCTTCATGTGTCTGAGGAGGTGTTGGGTTTTCGGGTTTAAACCAGTAAAGCATGGTTGCTCTGTTCTAATGGAGTTATTACTTCTTGTCACCGGAGGGTGCTGCTGTAACAGCGAAGGAGAGAAGAAACTAGCAGAAAGTGATACAGTGCAGGAAGCAGGAGATTTCTGTAATGATCTCTCACCAGCTGCTGTAATAAAGTTTGTGAATTTACTGTAACTGTGAATTTCCTGTTTCATTACAACCATCACAGACACGCTCATGTACACACCGCTTCTTCAGTTTTCACGGGAAAGCCCTGATGCCTCCCTAGGTGTGATGTAGTTTCCATCTAGTTGTGTGGGACATGCAGGTGCAGCAGGTGCACAGGGCAGGACATAAGAGCCTCAGATAAAACTGATCAAATGGATCCAAAGACCATCAGCACACTTCTGTATATGTTGCAGGGCATTTATATGACACACTGCAGAGAGAGAATGTTTCCCTGAAAACTTCTCTGTGGCACTTTTCTTTGGCCTGATGCTTTACAGATCATCACATTCATCAGTATGGTTAATGA